AGTAAAGCCACTAAGACACAAGGGGTTACAGGTCGTGGAAGAATTAGGAACAGAAACATTAATAATGAGCAGAAAGAAAAAAAGATTGATCAGGGAGACAGTAGATAGCGATTGACATTGAATTTAGAATTTTGATGATTAAAGTTGGCTGGCAAGCATGGAGCCGAAAGGGAGTTCCCCAAGTGAGAAGTACGGGAAATAAAAAGGTTAGCATATAACTTACGGTTATATTTAGCCAGCTCAGCTGTAAATTGATGAGATCTTTATACTAGTCTAGTACTACGCTTAAATTCAAAAAGTCTAGCCACCATAGCAAAGACTTTATCCGAAGAATTACCATGAGAGTATTTATAGAAAAGTCACAGAGTGGCAACATTAGGGCGATGTGGAAAAATGACTGGAGTCGAGCCACCAGATCAGGACCAATAATATTGCTGCTTCTTGTTTGGACTATATCAAGTAGCATAAGGTAAATAGCAGGAGCACCGGACCATATGTGGGAACAATATTCTAACCATGGACGAATGGTAGACTAACAGATATGTATGATAGATTCTGGAGAGAAAAATTGTTTCACACGACAAGGTGAACCAACCTTCCTGGCAGATGACCTAGCAATGGATTCAATATAGGCTTCGTTAATCTCATCCAATGAAGAGGAATTTCCACTTATAGAAACTACATGCAACAAGAAAGCATTCACGGGGACACTTCGACGTTGTGTAAAGGTTAGAAAGCTTGTCGCGCTAGATTAATTACAATTGAGTAGTGAGTTCGATCCTCACCGGGTGCTCCATACTTACGTCCTTGTACCACATCGAAACTACGCTTAGTAAATCGTTTTGCAGCTCTCGGTATACGAGTATAGTTTGCTGGTCGGCAGAAGGGTTCGATCTTTTGCCAATACTATTCGCTCAAGCCCGGGTTGGCTGTCCCCCAGATAATACCTCTCTTTCTGGAAATGGCTGGGTTTATTGTCTGACGTCCCCAAAATAGGGAAGTTCAGAGTAGACTTAAGAATGTTTCTGCAGTATTAACCCCACTTTAAACTGACCTTGTATCACCTTCGGTAAAGACCTGGCCAACCTTCAGTGAATTTATAAACCCCTTTTCCGAGTGTAAATAATAGATGCATAACAATAATCCCTCATTTTTATTCTTCATTCGTTTTTTACGGCGTAACAACAATTTTCAGGGTCTTTAAAGCCAGAAAATATTTTAGATTGTAAGAATTTTTTGTAGGAGGTGATAATGAATTAGTGATACAAGTTTTACTAATTAACCCTGATGTGGGGCCAAAGGTGCGTGAGTCACAGCTTTTCGCGAACCATATGGCAGTTTATGTAACCTGCAAGCACCAATGCGGTACGAGCTTGCATCTCTTGCGACTATGATGTCGAGACTAGGGTCGTAATGGGTGAGGAAAAAGTCCGAAGTAAGAGTTTTCTTGATCTTCTCGAATGCATCTTGGCATTCCGGGGTCCATGACCATGGTTTGTCCTTTTTTAAGAGTTGGTTGAGAGGCCCTCTCAAATTTTGCATGTTCTTAATGAACCCTTGGTAAAAGTTAGCTAGGCCGAGGAAGCTTTGTAACGCTTGAACGTTATCTGGGGCCGGTATGTTTCTGATCGCGTTGGCTCTTTCTGGATGCGGCCGACGACCATCTTTATTTATAATGTAACCTAAGTATTTAATCTCTGGTAAGAAAAAGTCACACTTTTCCTCCTTAACCTTAAATCCGTATTCTTGTATCTTTTCGAATACGTTTATTATATGGTTCCGGTGCTCTGCCACAGTTTTACTAGTAACCAGTATATCATTCAAATAGGCTGTTGCGTAGTCAAGATCGCCCAGCATGGCATCCATGACCTGCTGGAAAATTGCAGGCGCAACCTTTACTCCAAAAGCCAGTTTATTGTATTTGTACAACCCTCTATGGGTGTTTATGCAGAGCAATTTGGAACTTTCTTCTTCCACCTCTATCTGAAGGTATGCGTCCGAGAGGTCAATTTTAGAAAAAAAATTTCCACCATTGAGTTTATAGAAAATTTCTTCAGGGCTTAGGAGAGGATAGTGGTGATCTTGCAAGGCATCGTTTAACCCTGTGGGAAAATCTGCGCATACTCGTATTTGATTGGACTTCTTTTTTACGTAGACCATAGGTGCTGCCCACTCGCTGAAATCTGTTTTTGACAGAATACCTGCTTGTTCGAGTCTATCTAACTCTTTGTTGATTTGCTCTAGAGCAGCGAAAGGGACATTCCGTTTCTTTTTGAATACCGGTTGTCCACCGTCCTTCACCTTGAACTTAGCTTTCATTTTAGTACATTTCACAAGGCCGCCAGAAAAAACCTGGGGAAATTGTTGTTTGAGTTTCTTTTTGAGATTTACCAAATTGGACGTTGTACTTTGTATCTTGCGACAAAATGTACTCATTGGGCAATCCCAAAGATTGAATTTTTCTATCCAATCTGTTCCAAATAAGTTAACTGAAGTTTTCAATACATAGGCTTTGAGCTTTTTGGTAACTCTATTTAGTGTTACTGTAAGTATTACCTCGCCTAAAATGTTTATCTTTTCGCCAGTTACGGATTTTGCTGTTTTATCCGTTTTTAATAAGGTCGGCTTGTTTAATTTTCGCCAAGTACGCCAGTTAATGGTTGAAAGATCGGAACCCGAGTCAAGCTGGAATTTAATGGACTTATTGAAAATATCCACAGTTACATATTTTCTTAAATTCCTATCGACAATATTGTCAGATTGAGCTTGCCTAATTTTATTTTTGGGTTTTCTCGTTCTGTTGGCGTACCAGCACGAAGTTAAAGATGCCCACTTTTATTGCAATTTTTGCAATATTTTTGTTCTTAACTGGACAGAATTTCATCCAATGCCATTTACCACAATGGTAACATGGTCCGGACGGTTTCTTTAACTTATTTGGGTTTTGGTTACTGCGTAATTTAGGACATGAGATTTGCCTTTTGTCTTTTTGAGGGGAATAGGTGGTAGACTTGCTTCTGATTTTATTTATCTGAGCCACACCTGATTCATCGATAGTGTTTAAGTCACGCTTTACAGATATTACTCTTTGACAGTCCTCTGCCAGTTTTTGGAGAGTCAATCCTTGTTCGTTGTCAAGCTTGGTCAGTACCCGTCGTCTGACTTCGGCGTCTTCTGCTGATACTAGACCTTGTGCGAAAATTAAGCACTTAAAAGTCAGTTCGGCTAGTTTAAAATCATTACAGAGCTTGTTTACCGATGCTGCAAACGTTAGAAAATCTTGCTGGTTGTCTTTGACTGTGTTCAGACATTTCCAACGTTTGTGGAACAAGGTTGTGTTAGGCCCGAATAGTTCCGATAGGAGCTTAATAGTCTCTGAAAAATGCAAGTCAGTCGTTTTCTTGGGTAGTATGAAGTCTACGAACCTACTATGTTCTGTAGTTCCCAGTTTTCTCAATAGTAGACGTATCTTTTTTTTTACTGGGCCATTGTTCACAGTCTACGTTGAAAATATCTTCGTAGCGCCTGTAAAAAGCCCCGAACGTTTTGTCGTTCTCTGGTACGTATTCAAAGGTTTCCATTGAATTGTAGATTGTACTCTGGGAGAATATTGTATCTTTTTCAGAGTTTGAGCCTTTTAATGCATTTACGAGTAATTCTTTAAGTAGTTTCTGTTGTAGTTCAGCATTCTGAAGCGTAAATTGTTGGAATTCCATTTGTTGTTTATGTAATTCCAAAAATAGTTGTTGTTGTCTTTCTTCTGATTTTTGTTGCTGATCCAAATTTAGTTTTAACATTTGGGTTACTACTTTTTGCAAATCTTCCATATTTAAAAATGACAGTGCTTTTTTGTTGCTTTGAAGCACGTGTACTAAGAGGAGGTACACAAAAAAATCTTGGATAGATTTTTTTTCTTTTACAACAAAGAATATGGACAGACAATTAGTTAAACTAAACTAATGTGTTTAGCTTTTTTTTTTTTTTTGAGATTCCGTGATTCCGTTAATTTTGACGTTATTGAATACATTTTCACCACACTTATGTATTTTTTTTTATAGAGGTACAAAAAGAGAAAACTCACCTCAGTGAATTTGAGGGGAGAATAATTTTATGCACGAGTTCAACTCAGTTACATAAAAAAAAGTTTTTAGATACTTTTTCTTTTCGAAAACTTGAGTACAATGGTAGTACCTCGCTCTTGTATTGCCAGTTTGTTCTATGAACAACTGTTTTTTTTTTCTGTGTGTGGGTGTATAAGAAATCTTTCTCGTAATGTTATTTGGACAGACTTTAATATTCCGTAGATGTCGAAACACTGCTCGTCACTGATGTTTGGTATTGGAATATATGTAGACGCTGGGTGTTTAGCTTTTAAATCGCTAATGTAGTAATACCAGTTTAATTTCTCGTTCAACACTGCTGTGGGAACGCGTGTAGTTTGTGTATTTTTCGAGTACTGTCGCTATTGATATGGTGAGAACGAAATTCTCGAATCTTTCTGTCGCCACTGTTGTGGGACTAGCAAGGTATTGCGGTTTTTCGACGTGAATGCGTTTGTAGAATTCTTCGTCGACCCAGATGTGGGATTGGTAAGGTATTTAGGTTTCGCCGTGAGTGCGTTTCTAGAATCCTCGTTGCCACTGATGTGGGGTCAAAGTTGGGACCACAGAAGGAAAACACGGAACACAGATTAGATGTAAGAAAAGATATATTAACAACAGGTTACAGAGATAGTGTAAGCGGAGCTTACTATATGTTAGTGTCCAACACTACTAGACTAACACTATCTCTCTCTGTCACTCTGACTCTCTGTAGAGTGCTATGTCGCCTACTTAATATAGGCCTGGAAGAGTCTATTGTGTAAGTAGTTTCCGGTCTCACAATAAACCCATAGCTGGGGGAAGAAGTGTATATAACGAAGCCAACTGGAATTGTATCTCGGCTCTCCGATTAACAATTCTCAGCCATTATCCATTTCACCACCCGTACATCCAAGCACA